CCTGAAAGAAAGGAAAGGACATTACTTCACCCAGTTAAGCTACCCATCCCTTTCAGTTACCTGGATTCATTACCTACTATGTCTTGTCTGCACCTGCCTCAGTTTTCAATAAACCTGCTGTTATATTGACTTACCCTTGTGTCCCATCGTGTTTGCTGACACATTGGATGGATTTTGAATTGTTTTTATTTGTTTTCTGATTTTCTGATTTTCTCCTAGTTATATATTATCGTATGTTGTGCAGCACTTTGGTCGGCCTTGTTTCGTGCTTAAATGTGCTCTAGAAATAAAACTGAACTTGAACATTGATTATATCGATAGCCTACCAGTCTATAAAAGATTCATATGATGCTGTCATCTTTGCAAAATATCTATACTACTGCTTTTCAATATCTACTTTATAACTATGTATTATGAGATTTTTTCCCCCTTGTATCTTCCCAAAGACTACAAATATTAAATCAAGCGATAATAGGCTACTATTATGGTTCTCTCAAGGTTATTAAAACATGACAAAAAAATTACACACACAAAAACCCCCCCCCACCAAATTCGCTAATCAACAGAACCAAACGTGCTCATTAATGCTTTAACACATAGGTATTGGGTCATACTTTAGCAAGCGGAACTTTTTTACTAATTTTACATTCTATCTTCAGTGTCATGTGAGTGCAGGAAGAGGCTCAATATCGCCCTCTATCATAGAGAACCACAAGCTGTATCAAGAAGTCTCTGCATTCAGGGCCTGCGGAGAGCCATATGGACAATGGCAAATATCTATACTACTGCTTTTCAATATCTACTTTATAACTATGTATTATGAGATTTTTTCCCCCTTGTATCTTCCCAAAGACTACAAATATTCAATCAAGCGATAATAGGCTACTATTATGGTTCTCTCAAGGTTATTAAAACATGACAAAAAAATTACACACACAAAAACCCCCCCCCACCAAATTCGCTAATCAACAGAACCAAACGTGCTCATTAATGCTTTAACACATAGGTATTGGGTCATACTTTAGCAAGCGGAACTTTTTTACTAATTTTACATTCTATCTTCAGTGTCATGTGAGTGCAGGAAGAGGCTCAATATCGCCCTCCATCATAGAGAACCACAAGCTGTATCAAGAAGTCTCTGCATTCAGGGCCTGCGGAGAGCCGTATGGACAATGGCAAGCTTTTGTCACGTTCAATCATACAGGATAAGAATTACTGCAAAGATATCAAAACCTCAGTCTTCACTTGTAAAAGTAATAATTCTTGTTATCAGCAATGGCATCATTAGCCTTCTTAAAAAATGCTCATTTTTGATATCAAGTAATTACATTTCCATTAGTGAAAATTGCAATTGACTGCTGTTCAAAAATAATTACAGATATGATCTCTGGTTCCATGAGATGAAGGGAACGAGACATTGCATTAGAAGAAACATCTAAAAGTTTCGCCTTTGACACCGTATCTTACTTTAGACATTTTGAAACAAAGCTTGCATCTCTCCAGCTGTAATCGTATTGTAATCAGTGCTGCTGAAAACACTAAAGCTGTTCTTCTTTTGGGTTTGTCTGTAGAAGCGAGTAATTTACAGGCAAACAAACGAACCCCCAAATATGAATGCAACACACAAAGCTTCACGTTAAGTGTTTTCCCATAGAAAACTATTATAAATAGCGCATTGCGTTCATGTTCTGGGCTCATCTGCTTGCCTTTATACAGTATGCATCATCAACTATGTGTATACTGAATTTCATCTTTTAGAATCACCCTCTTAGTATGTTAGGGCATTAGGGTTTTTTTCATGTTAAAGGGGTGGTTCATTGCGATTTCACTTTTTAAACGTTAGTTAGTGTGTAATGTTGCTGTTTGAGCATAAACAATATCTGCAAAGTTACGAAGCTGAAAGTTCAATGCAAACAGAGATATCGTCTTTTAAAATTCTGGCAGTTTAATGCCTACCAAAACAGCTGGTAGGGACTACAACAAGTTACTTCCCGAGTTCGTGACGTAACAAACCCTGATAAACCCCGCCCTCTGGAAAAGGCAGCAAAGGGGGCGAGGCCATGTTGCGCTGCTTTAGAGAAGAGGAAGAGAAAACTAGAGGTGCACATGAAAATCTATTCAAATATGAATCGCGATTCTGTCTTCTGCACGCAGGTCCATGTTTAACGCTTCTCATAGCTATGTGAAAATAAGTGTATAATTGGAACAGTTCATTGTTGGAGCTGAGCTGAATGAGAGAGAGAGAGAGAGAGAGAGATGCAGAGCGTGTGCAGAGCAGGGGGACGCGAGGAACAGTATTAAGAACCGCTGCTTTAGAACATTGATTTTGAAACTTGTGAATCCATTAGAATCGTTAGAAGACAGAATCGCGATTCATTTTCACTAAATCAGATCTCAGCACGGCCTGATTATATATGATCACAGAAGGAGTGAATATATGAACATATGAATATATATGTTATATATGAACATCAGTCTCAGATGTTCTTCCTCTTAGGTGTGGAGAAATGAAAGGTTACAGAATTTAGAGTTTCCTTGTTTATGTCTTATTAGAGCACACCCTGGCCATTAATGATAAGTAAGCAAGTTTATCAGGTGCTTTATACACCTCAAAAATGTTCAACATCACATCTGATGAATCTGCTAGATTCTAGAGAAAGCCCTAACTTTGCAGGTGCAGGCAAAAGAAGGAAGTGAAGAGAAATAAAATGAAACTTTGTGGGAAATCTTAGCAGTGTAAATGCGAGTTTACTCGCAAATGGTTGTAGGATTGTTTAATTATGGCCCCCAGAATTTGATCAGATTTGGCAAATTTGTTCATTCTCTGAAAAGCACTTTCAATGAAAGGGCCCAAAACAATAAACAAACAAAAACAGACACATGTACAGTATACAAATATAAAAGAATAAACAATATATGATTAGACTGAATTTGATTACTTAATTCTAGTCTGTGTGGTTTGTGAGTTACAAGCAATTAGGCATAAAATTACACATTATAATGCCGGCTAGTAATATTTTGGTAAGTATTTGGTAAGATATGAGACCAACCAAATCTGATTTGCTTGTGCTTTAAACAATTGTAATATTAGTATGGAAAGACTATTCATTAGATTTATGTGTTACATGAAAGACATGTGATGTGAGTGAATAAATGAGTTTTATTTCACCCATTCCAAACAAATACAAAACAAAATACAGAACAGTGAACAATGGTTAGAATGAACAAAGAGTAAAATTATGACAGTTTTTCTTCAGTAACCCTTACTTTTGAACCACTGGGCTCTGGCAACAACATCATTGGAGTAATCACCGCCGGTGGTGCCCACGTCCATGCGCTCATATGTTTGGACGTTCATCACTCCTGCATTGAAGGCTGATATTCCCCCGAAACAGACATTATACTACAACTGAGATATGAAATCAAACCAAGCACTGACATAATACTATTTACATTTATGCTCTGAAAAGGCATGCTTATATTTTTATTTCTAAAACATTTGTGAAATCTTCTAATCTTCAGTCGTTTACAACCAAATTCAGCAAACTGATTAATCAATAAAAATCATAAAACAGAAAAAACAAGGCCTCATGCACTTCTCCGTTAATGCTGTGAGTTAATTTGTTAATTAATTAATTATTAAGTTGCGTTAACCAACAGCTAATTAAAGGAAGTGCTGCAGGGGAACTTCTGCTTTGAAAAGGGAAGTTGGGAAAAATCAAGTTTACAAAATAAATGAAAAAAAATCTTCTTTTAATGTGACAAAAAAGTCTTCAGATTTGCACATTATATGGAGGCATGGCTTGCAGTGAACACACTTTGACATTTTGCATTCATGCGGTTTATCATTTTGAAACTGGCTTCTGTAATTTCCTGATCCTTCTCAACTATCCTATAATTTGTCTCATGTCTCATTAACTGTCCCTGTTTACAAAACAGGCCAAATAATGCTAAATATAATGTTACCTTATGCAAAATAATATATAACATTAATGATTTCCCAGTGACAAAAATGTTTTGCATGGATTATCTATTATTAGTGTGTCTATTTAAAGTCCAGATGTAGACTAAACAGCCTAAATATCATCTTATATGTGTCTTATTTACCTCATATTAAGATCATTGTGGCATTATCTTTCAAATAGAGTAAATCAGTTCTTCTGACCAACCTGCATGAGGCCAAAACCATTGCCATTTCTCCATCTGGGTAAGATCATTCTCAGCCAGTTTTTTGGAAGCCTCGACACCTTTGAATGGAAATCGTTGATATAAATTGCAATGCATGTAACTTAAAGGCAGGGTATGTGAGAATCACTTACTCTGCCTTTAAGTTACTGAACACACCAGTTAAGCAGGCATACCCTTTATTACGGTTAATTTGTCTTGTTTTGCTGTTGCCTCTGATGCACCGGTGGTGGTGTCTACTTTCATGATGTCTCCATAAATGCATGCTAGAAAATACATGGTAAGTATCGTCTGAAGGCCTTTAAAAAGTCTGTAAATAGTTAAATGCATGTAGGCTACTGCAGTTTTACTACATTTAGAATTTTTTTTAAATGTCATATGAACTACGGTTAAGTAATCGAGTTACAGCACCGCAGTAACGAGTCAAATTAATTCAATAACCGCAGCAGTTGATTTATGATGAAAACTCATTCGTTCGGTAATCGGTTCACTGAAAAGAATCGACTCATACGAGCGATTCATTTGACAATATGATTCTGATTCACTAATAAAAACCAGTCATAAGAATCGTTTGTTGGGGTATCACTGTATATTTGTTATTCACTATAGAGCAAGGGTGCCCAGGTGTGTTTGATTAGGGTTGGAGATGAACTTTGCAGGACAGTCGATCGCCAGGAGCAGGGTTGGGCACCCCTGCTATAGAGCCAACTCAAAATAGTTGTTTTACCAGCACTACGTATGTACAGTAGACAAGAGAAAACGTGTACTGTGTCTTTAAGATCAATTCCAGTCATCACAGCCAGTCTATGAAAACCAGGAAGCAAAACATTGCAAGTAGCGTGACATGTTATAAAATGAAGTTACTGGTGCGATAGTATTCAATCTAAACTATATCGCGCTATTTCCGCATGAACATATGCACATAGTGTTTGTAAATACTCAGATTAGGATGTTTCTTTTGATTTTACACGTTTTGGAAGCAGGTGTTTTTGCAGTAGATAGCAAACAGTTCAACATTTTGTACTTAATTGCTGATGATTTGAGACCAACTTTAGGCTGTTACTCTGATCCAGTGGTCAAGTCACCAAACATCGATCAACTTGCATCAGTGAGCACAGTGTTTCATAACGCCTATGCACAGGTATGTTGTATTATTGCTCATCAAAAAACATAAATATGCATTATACATACTATGTAAAGCTGTATTGGTAGTGTACATTTAAGTTACAGGTGCACACTACTGTTGTGTTCTTTTAAAGCAAGCTGTTTGTGGACCTAGTAGGGTGTCTTTCCTAACAAGTCGAAGACCAGACACCACAAAGCTGTATGATTTCAACTCCTACTGGAGAGTCCATGCAGGGAACTACACTACACTTCCTCAGTACTTCAAGTCTAATGGATACACCACTTTATCAGTTGGCAAAGTCTTCCATCCTGGTAACTAGTCCATCTGATGTATGCATGCATGATCATGTCCCAATGCAAAAAATCCTAAAAACGTGACTTTGCTATGCCTTCTTTTTTTCCCTCTTTTCATTTTGATGTGAAATATGACCTGGGCATTTATTTTTGATTGCCTTATAATCCTTTCATGTGTTAACTGTCTTGTTTGATGTTTAAACTAATAATGTTTCTCTTTCACGTGCTCGTCCTCAAGGCATTGCCTCCAACCACTCGGATGATTACCCGTACAGCTGGTCTGTACCACCGTATCATCCACCCTCTTTTAAATATGAAAAGAGGAAGGTCAGTGTGTGGATATGTGTACAGTACACACTTCCTCCTCAGTGTCTGTGCTTTCAATCCCATGCTGTGTTGTTTAAATGTCCCTTGGTAAAGCCACACCTGTCCTAGCAATCAGATGTATGGCTTTGGTTTTATATCTGGGATTTATTTGGAGGTTGGAATTTTGACTTAATCTTAGGTTCAGATCATCATAGACAATTCTAAACCAGTAAACCAATGTCCAACAAAATATTCGAAGACCATTTATATAATATATTATTACCAGCAGTGGTGGACGAAGTACACAAATCAAGTACTTGAGTAAAAGTACAGATCCGTATAATAAAATATTACTCCAGTAAAAGTAAAAGTACTCAGTTTTCAATTTTACTCGAGTGAAAGTACAAAAGTACTTACTTTTTTTATGTACTTAAGTAAAAAAGTACCATAGATGAATGTTTATTTTGCAGTTTTATATAGGCTACTTTATCATTT